TGTCTTCAAGGATTTCCTGCCTTTACTGTGTAATTACTTTTCTGTGTAATTTGTTTTTAAAAAACCCGCATGTACTGCAGCTTTCTACTGCTGTATAAGTCTTACAGTATATTTCCAAATGAGATTTGACTTCTGAGGTTTTGTCTGAAGCTTAAAAAAATTAAGTCAACTCTTGATCTACATGCTGATCATCAGACTTACAACTTGAGTAGACAGTTTGTTCCCTCACACTGTTGAGCACAGAATAGCACTGCAGTGTACATGACCCACAGCGTGTCATTGACAGCAGACCCTGCTCTGGCTCAAATTTAAAGTGACTCCCCCCCCCCCCCCCCCCCCCCCCCCCGACATTTCTAAACAAGAACTAGTTAATTTTAGAGGGAGGGACTGACCTGACACTTTTTTTTTCACTTTCATAGCTGTGTTTTTCCTCCCCAATTTTTCTGGTTAGTTAAGAACTGATTAGGGGGTGGGAGGGAAGAGAGAGAGTCTGTGTATCTCCGCGTGTGTTGGGAGGATCTTAACACCTTGTAAAACCTGGTAAGTTTGTTCATTTTTTCCAAATCTGAGAGAAGAGAGTGATGTGAACGTTGACAACAGTGTAATTAGCTTTTGTTGAAAGGTTTGTTACTGTTTTTGTGTTCCAGATTATGGGAATTTTTTTACTGTTCTTTCTCTTGTTTTTCAATCAATATAGGCCTAAATATATGCCAATTTTTTTCCCCGCTTTATACAAGAAGTGATAAGATACTTTCTCATGGCAGTTTTTCTGTGGGACAGATCTGTTGTTTAAAGGAAAGCTATTAAGAGCTCCCGTTTTTATGTTGGAAAGTATTTAAATATATACAGTTGCTGTCCAAGGCTAAAAGATACCATAGCTGGGTATTCTAGTGCTGTTGTCTGGATGAAATTTGAAATATTGGCTTTGAATAGTCGCTAGTCTAATGCTCCAGCTAGTGTTTTGTTCTTATACTCGGATATTTAATTGGCATCCTTCACAGTTCACTACTATGGTGGTATCTTCCTTGCCTAAAATAACAAAAAAATGGTATTAAAGAAAAATCAAGCAGCTATTTAATTCTATATTTTCCCAAAAAGTATAGTAGGAAGGACAGCAAGTCTTAAGATGTGAATGTGTTGAAATAGCAGTTCTTTTTCACCCATAGTAAATAATAGGATCTAATTTGTTTTTTCCATTATCTTCAGCTGATCTTAAGAGAACAATTGCTGTTCTTCTTGATGACATCTTACAACGCCTTGTGAAATTGGAAAACAAAGTTGATTACATCGTTGTGAATGGCTCAGCAACAAATACCACTAACGGAACTAGCAATCAGGTGCCAGTAACTTCAAATAAACGTGTAAAACCAGCAAGCAACATTAGATAGCAAAGAGGGCCACTTTGTGTTGCTACATCTATGATATAATATTTAATATAAGCTTTTTATCTCTGGCTAGGGCAAAGCAGTAGTTGACTCTAAAAGAAGCATAAATTACTCTATTATACAATGTGCTGGATCTATGTAGGCCTAACCTATGTGCATAGGTTCTCAAAGCATTATTTCATTGCCTTTGAGCAGTACTTCTGAAGTGATCTTTGTTGTCTTTAAAGATACTTTGATATCATGATTTGATGTAGTATGCCATTGGACAATAACAATAAATGGAAAGCAATGGAGAACTTATAGGTAGGTTTCTTAATATATTTATTTAAGTATAAATATAACATATCTTTTGGATAGGTGAGCAGTATTGTAGCTTATTCATTTTTTGTGATCTGCGTTAAGCTGAGGTAACTAAGGAAAATGCATTGTTAAACAGATGTTAAAAATTGTGTATACTTAGAATATTTTGTTACTCATTTACTAAAACTAATTGAAGATAGCATTGGTGGTAATATTTTAAAATTGTGACCCAAAGAATGTCTTTATTTGCACTATCTGTCAAAATAGCTAGAGAGAATTTACTGTATATTTAAGAAAATTAATTATAATAGGAAAACATCCTAGGTAGTAACACTGTCCAGGTATATCTTTACGCTGGAGTTAGGGCAGTTAGATTATCAAAAGCAAATCATAATCTGTGATACTTTAGATGATTATTTCTTACAAAGATATTTAAGTGTATGTATTTTGTAATGGCAGATAAAATTATTTAAGTGATGGAAATAAGTTTTTTGGATATGTGAATACTGTTTATTTTTATTCATTGCTGTTTCTTTTTAACTTTTAGTACCTTGCAATTTCTGATGTGTATAGCACACCATCTCCCTGAATTGCTTTTTGATCAGGAGGAAAAGCAATGAAGGGAAACAGGCATCTCTGCATTTAACAGAGATATATGTAATAAAGGTGTCTTATCATGGAATATTTGAGCGCTAAGGTAATGTCTGCCTTATGTCTAAGTTAGCCTTACAGCAAAGTGAAGAGCAGTGTAGATGCACTGTATTTCAAAATGTTACTGAAGTCATATTAAAAAGAAAGTGCCACTGAGCCTGTTTTTAAAAATGTACTGAATGTTTGGGGGGGAGGGAGGGGTATATGTTCAGGGACTTTTGCCAAAAGTGTGCTGTGAGTGGGTTTTTGGGGGTGGGTAAAACCAGAGGTGCTGGATGATATACCATCCAAAGTTACATGTTTTTTCTTTTCTTCTATTTCCCTGCTGATATTGTGGACTGTTGCAAAGGAAAATACACTTATAACCTTAGTTAGTATCCAGATGATTTTTTTTTTCCTGTCACATTGTGTGTAAACGTGTCACTTCAATGCAGAAAGAGAAAAATAAATTTTTAATTGTACTTGTAAAGACTCCTTTTTTTTTTTTTAAGTCTTGTCATTCTTGCTAGGTGTGCTCTAGGTGTTTCTGGATTGGAAAATTGTGCATGTTTGAAGTTTTGATCACTGAGTTCTTTTGCTCTTGAAATTCTAATGCCCTGAAACTTCTCTCAGGTTAGAGGTGAGGGGAGAAAGAAATGAAAATTAAAATGACTGGTTTAGATCTCTAAGGGTGAAGACTTCACTCTTTAATCTAAGAGTGAAGAAGACAGGTGCATAACTTCTTTTGAATCTGCAAGTGTCTATTGACAATGTGAAGACAGGTTTTTATATCTATCTATAGATGCTTTTTATTCCCTGGGTGCTTGATTAGTACCAACCAAAACCTTGGTGAGTGGTGTCCCTATGTGCTATAAATAGTAATATGAGTAGTTCTTCTGTGTGTATGAAAAGTGACTTTTTTTTCTTGTAAGGGTAAGTAAAATCTTAAAGTTATTGAAGATTGTTAAACAAGCGTAACACAAGTTGCAAGGTGAATATTTGTCACTATATGCACATGCAGGTTGTTTTATGCAGGGATTTTGGAGACTGATACACTAAATTATGTGCAGTTATGTACTCCTCATTAGTGCCATTACCAAATAGTTGCTTTTCTCTCAGGTTGCAGTAGTACAGTGGCTCACTGGAATTAGCTTGTACTTGACAAATACATAGGGAGAACTGTGAACTACTTACTTTATGGCACAAATGTTCCATTCATGAATATAGTTGAAACAACTGTTTATCACGAAGCAAGTTAAAAATACTCTAGTAGCATCCTACATCTAGTATTACATGAAACCAGCATTGTTACGGGTTGATACAGCAATACATCAGTGTCCGTGATACGTCTTGCTCCTCTTTTTGTGTCCAGTCTTGTTCTGTGCTGTATCACCATGTCATGCCTCTGACTTGTGTTCTCCCTCCCCAACTATCTAGCACAATACTATTTCCATGATTTCAGTCCTCCAGCAGTGCAGAGGGTGCAAGTGGAGCTTCATCCTTTTTGCTGAGATGACAGCACTTTTCAGAGGGGCAAGGCTAAACTTCAAGTGTGCGGACTAAGGAAAAAAGGGTAAGGAAGGGGTAAGGGGAGAGTTGCCTTTTCTATCAACATTTGTAGCAAGAAAACATCTGCGTGTTCTACCCTGCAGCCTCCTTTATAAGATATTTTGAGAGGTGTGGCAGCCTTACAATGGCAGGAGGTTGTGTAAAGAACCCAAGGGCTTGTGAAAAAGAAGCATGAGAAAGCCTATAACTCATCCCAGGTCCAAAATGCTTCATAGCATCACAGCATTTGGTTATGTTGCCAAACATCTTAAATTTTTTTTAAAGGAATATTTAAATAGCATTTCTGCTGTGCTACAGTTTTTGTGATGCACCTATCTATTTCCCATTTCAGATGACATCACAAATCCCCCCAAAGTGATCTGCTTCAAGTTTTGTGAAATATGGAATCTCCATAATGTTGGTTGGTTGGCTCTTAGGCTGCATTGGGTTGGTTTGTTTTTTTTCCTTTTCTTTTTCTTTGGAGGGCAGAGTGACATACAACCTCTTGTATATAAACAATGCCTGATTTGGGGGGGGTGGTGATGGTGGTTGTTTGCTTTTGTTCTTGAAATCTTTTAGTAAATTATGAGACTTGAATTTTCCCAGCTGTAATTTGCTTCCTGAGTGTTTACCAGCTGATTTCACTTGGTAATTGGTAGTACTTCTGTGCCTGTGAATGATTGTTTAATGAAGGTTGCAAAAAATGTTCAAGATCCATGCCCAAACAAAAGTTCTAATGAATAAAAATACAAAGAAAAGAGTCTGTTTATCGCTGTCTAAACAGCTAGAAGCACCACAGGTCTCAATACAGCTCTCGAGTTCCACAACCAAATAACTGGCAGGCAAACACCTTCGGGAAGGCTGTCTTGATTCTTTATTTTTTTTTGTTGCTTTCCTCATCTAAATAAATAATTTTTGAATCTCACTGTAGTACCCTTAATGTAAATAAGATATCCAAGCATTGTCTTACAATTGTGTGTGAAGAAGAAAAAGGGTTGCACATTAAAGAATCTTTGGGATGAATGGATGGACAGATAGACAGATACTCCACTGAAATGCAGAGACAGCTCTGAACAAGCTCTTATCCACTGATAGGATCACAGAAGTTTGCTGCTCTGTTTTTAATGAAATATTACTAAAAATACAGAAACATGGCACAAGGATGTAGAGGTTCTTGTAATCAGTGTGGTGAAACATCAGTACCTTTGGCATCCAGTAATATGCCTAACATATTGCACAGTTGTCTGTTTTTCCAAGTAGCTGCTGAAGACTTGTTTTTTTCATTAACACAGTCATTTAAAGAAGCTGGCTAGATAGATTTAAATTATAATTGAAAATAATTGCTAGTGCAGAGGTTTCCAAACTGCATCATGTCTGTGATGTGTGCAAGTTGCCTAAGCGACTAAGTGCCTCCTGTGCAGGTACGTATTCTGGGGGTAATTGCTGCTGCTGCTGCTGTGGCCTTTGTTCGTGGGAATGCAGAAGCAGAGTAAATTTGGGAACCTCTACAAGAAGTTTATTTAGAAAAATAATTACATAAAATTTAACATCCCAGTTTATTATGTTCTCTCAGAAACCTTTTAATTCCTCAAAATACTCAAATTAATGGTATGAACTAAATGTCTAAAACATTCGTACTTAATTGGTGTGGTATTTTTAAAGGTGATGTAGAGTGTCAATTGACATCTTTAACAATTAATCCAAATATGACCTTCCTTACCTAATGATTGTGTCCTTTCATTAGTTTGTGCTTTACAAAACAATGAAGTCTGCTATCTGTGGGGTTCAATTTAATATATTTGATAGTATGCCTTCTTCAAAGGCAAGAGTGAAATGGGAGACCTTTTTATAGCAGCTAAAAAAGTGAATTAGACTTTTGCAATATTTTTCATGTGGAACAGACTGTTACTGAATATTTCACTAAATTTCAGTTTGTCTGGGATGATGCACACATCCATTTATATCTGTATAAAAAAATATAATTTAGGTTATTAAAATGAATCCCAAGTTAAAGTGAAAGAAAAAATTTCACATTACATACATACATGAAATCACTTAAATGCCAGTGGCATCACATGCTACTGAATTATCTTATCTCTAATCTTAATTACTACAAATTTCCTAGATATGTTTGTCAGTATCTCCAGCAAAAACCTTTCATTGTTAATTGACCCTTGCTTGCATATGAGCTTACATATTCCCTGTGGCATTCATCAACTTACTCTGTTCAGTAGATATCTAATCATGTTCTGTTTCTCTGATAGCAAAACTGAAGAGAAACATGTTGACATTTTTAAATGCCTGTAAACTAGGCTTAATAATACGCAAACTGATTTTTTTATTGTAGCATAATGTATGGTCATGATTAGAAGTTTATAAGTGAATACTGCTTGCATTTTCTTTCAAGTATATCAGAATATTGGTAACAAATGTGGAGGGAGGAAACAATTTGATGGAAACCGTCCTCATTATTCTTTACACCACTTCAATTCTTTTTGTTTTCAGAATAGCTAATAAGAGATAGT